ACATACAATTCATGGCCTCTCCACATCGCCATTCCACATTCATACAATACCGTGAAACCAAATTTTATGATTATATTGGTCTTCTGGGTTGTTACATCATGTGGATGTGATGGTTACCAGTGTTCTTGAAGAACTTGCTTCCTCCATCTTTTGGGCTAAATACCAGCATTGACATCTTTACCATTGTAACAACCTCAAAATTCAGCAATACAGTTTTGTTTGATGAACGAAGTATACTGCAAAGCACAGTTCATTTATGCTAAGTAAATGTTCTCTGCCACCAGAAAGAATGGGTACTCCAATCAAACACAGCATTCTGTAGAAATGGCTGGCAAGAATGCTCTTGCTCATTAAAGGACCTTCTGTATTTGTGTGTGTGGAGGGGTTAAGGTACAGGTAAAATGTTCTTAAAGTTTTGTCTTTATGGCTTACTAAACAGATGCACCTAGTAAAACCCAAAACAGATCAAAATGTCTATGCAGGAATGAAATGGGGTACATAATTTTTCACCATGAACCACCCACATCTTTATATTATCCCCGGTGCTAATTTCATATCATTGGACAACCATCAAATTACTAAACAGATGCACCTAGTAAAACCTCTTTATGGCTTACTAAACAGATGCACCTAGTAAAACCCAAAACAGATCAAAATGTCTATGCAGGAATGAAATGGGGTACATAATTTTTCACCATGAACTGCATTAGTGTAATTCACAACACACACTTATTGCTAAACTCTCTGAAGAGATATACTGAGCCCATACATTTTTGTAGACTACTGAACACTGTCTAGTACTGTTTCTTAAAGTGAGGTTTCTTATTGTGAATGAATATCAAATAGGAAGACATTTTGCAGGAATATGAACTTTATTATGTATGGTGTATTAGTGTGACATTGCAGGATTATTAAAACAAGAGTTCTCAAATGTCCACATGCAATGTCCAGATAGGAAATCACAATCATCCCTGTGAGTTATGTTATGTCAATATTTATGGATCTGGGCTAAGGAAATGATAGAAAGGAATCTTTTTCAATTAAAAACTTCAGAAATATGAATTTAAAATAATTTTAATAGCCTATTCATAAAAAAGTCTTGACTTTTTTCATCATTTATTACACATAATTTGATAACTACCTTCCTCCTCTGAAGCACTCCACATGCTCCACATTTCCAAAAATCACAAGAAGCATGAATTTGAACCATGTCAAATCCTTGTCTACTATCTTACAGATGACAAACCTGCTATTTCTGCCTTCATGAGACTAGTCAGGCTTAAACACAAGCATCAGACTCCTTTATGTACTTCTTGCATATGAAATTATGGGCATTCAAACAAGGACATAAATCTTCATACAGTAATGAGTATCACTGCCTGTATTACCAGACAAGACACAACAGTATGGGATTATCTGTCCCTGGACTCTACCACAAAACATGAAGTGCATGCATGCAATAATTCTTTTCATATAATTAAAATATCTCACTAAATGTCTATTATAATAAGAAAACATCACAGATACCAAAAAACTACACGTATCTTAATGAAAAAGACTGAATGCCTCATCATCACCATCAGCAGCATCAAAAACTGCCCAATTTTTCTTCTTCTTCTTACCTTGAAATGTACCAATCTTGCTCAGAACATACAAGCAATGATACATGACCACACAAAGTGGGCTCGATAAATTGTTCTGGATTTTTTTTGTATTTTTTTAACCTTTTAAGAATTTTTAAATAATTTCAACATTAAAGCCTGCAGATAAGGAACAAAAGCCCCAATGAATTTTCAACTTTATTGTTTACTTGTTAATTGACCTATTCTTGAAACACATACATTGCTATGTTAATAATGATAATGCAACTTGCTGGCCCTGGGCTAAGCTGATACATGAACCCAAATAAATAGAACTAAATGCAAGATAACATAGCAACACTGAATATTGGGATGGGCTTATGAGTTTTCCTTTTTTAGAAACAACACTAAAAGCACTGTTCCTGTAATTCAAGGAATATTTCTTTTTACCATCCTTTATCTCAGTTTCTTAAGTGAATTATTTTACATCTTGGTTTCTAGTGAATTTTTATAAAATTAAGAGCATCATTTGTGTGACTTAGGACTAACCAAGAATACTGCATAAAGATTATTAAATAACCTTTATGAATTATTCGTAAACCCACTACGATCACAATTTTCCTGTTCTTGTCTTATATAGCAATTCAGTCTGTCAGACACCCAAAGAGCTTTCAATGGGCCTACTGTATGCACTTCCCTTTATCAGCACTAAAACTGGGAAGTATTAAAATATACACATGCAGTAATTTAATATTTTCTCATTACTGTTCCAAACAAGTAGGCCAGATAATTAAAGAAAACATTTCCTGTGTAAAATCTCATAAAGAAAGTTAATATACATTCTCAAAATGCATCTTAATAAAAGTTGAAAAATTAAATGTAACAAACATTTTGTTTTAGTGTGACCAAGGTAATTTGATATTGAACATATCCATGCACATTTTAAGCCTACACAATTCATCAAAGAAACAGTGTTAATAATAAAAAAACAATTTTTCATTATTACATAGTATAAATCATATTTGAATCCAAAGGTAATACTGAGATCACACAAGGGGTAAGGAGAAGAACACTATAGAGAGCTAACAAGTATACTACCGCTCCCAAAAAAGGATCTTCTAACACTTGCTTCTAAAAGTATTATTCTTACATGTGAATAATGTTTGAAACATACAGCCAAAATTCTTCCAAGGTTCTGAGATGAAGCAACTTATTTGGCCACAAACTTCATATTCTCAGTGATCATTAAGCCTTCGGAGTAAATGAACAAGTTCTGCATATATCAAATAGTAAAACTTACTGGCAATACGAGATCCAATTTTGACCACATACAACACACACGGTGTTTAACGCAGTCATGCATATCAGATACATACACTGACAAGTCTTAAAAGAATGTTTATTCTTTGAAAGCGGTAGTCGTCTAAACCGCGGTCAACAAGATCTTACTGTTAACATGTTCTAAAAAGCCTCACTCTTCAAACAGAAATCAGACAGAGCAATAGTACTTCAAGACTTCTAAGGATATATCAATTACAACAAGTTCACAGGAATTTTTTTTTCACAGAGATCCATTATCCCACATATTATTCAAAAATTTTAACAACATAAAATTAGACAGTGAAGAAGAACTGAAACAATGCAGCTAAGGTTTTGTTTCACAGTAAGAGTGGTTAAGAAAACTCATACAACAGAGATCTTAGATAAAACAAGCTGGTGGTTAGTCTACATAAAAATTCCTCCATGTCGAACCAAAATGGGAGGAGACATTTCCATCTATCCATTCACCCATCATCATCAGTATCATCATCAACGCAATCAAATCTCAACATTCAATGCATCTCATGTCCATCTACGGAACGCTCGCAACAATCAAGGAAATGACATCTCTGTCCACTTCCTGTTCATTCTTTCAGATTCAAGCATTCCTAGGACAGAAGAAGCAAGCCCTCACATTTTCCAGCTACAGTACTAATCAATGTAGTAATGCTCTCAACTATATTCAAATACAAAGCTTCACTGAAGCAATAATATTACATATTTAAATTGTTACTATCTCCAATATAACACGGTGTTATGTAAATCAATTTATTTTCCATTCAAGATGCTATTATACGCAATTATTTTGCTTTTTAACTTTGTTATTTAAAGATTACTTAATAGCTAGACCACTTTAACCTAAAAAGCCTTGAAAAACTTGGCAGATCCACAAAAAAAAATTATTTTTTTTCTCACAAAAACAAAACTATCCCAATATGAGCCCAAATTTCTAGTTCATAGATTATTCCAGATACAGTCATACAATGATACAAGTTTACTGCTCATCTAAGACTACTTGACTTTAACATTAAGTAACACCTCTTGACACCTATAGAAATATATCGGCTAGTACGGCACTGCAGAGCACCTGTAACCAATAGGTACAGTCATAAATACCTACAATTTTTGGAGAAAACTACCCGAGCTAAAACAGTGGGAGCTTTTCGAAAGTGCCTGAAAAACGAGAGATCTGGGCTCAAATGGGATGTGCAACAGTTACGCACAAGTAATTAGTTCATCTACTGAGAACGGATCACAGTCAATCACGTGTATATTTATGTATTTCTTTTGTGCAGTGCAGTAAATATGATGAGAATGAGAGGAGAAAGGGGAAACGGGAGAAAAGTTACGGTAATTGGGAAAGAGGGGTGGGTGGGCGGGTTTGTGTGGGGAGTTACTATGTACACAACTGCCCCAATTAACAATGCTTCAGCATCCATCCTTAACAAAACTACATGGGACAAAGGAGAATACATTAAGTGGCTAGATGACATTTTGCTTTTATACTTACTCTTTCTCTTCATAAAACATGTACATTTTTCATCTTACTAAATAATTTTATATATGATAATTTGATTAATTATTATTGTGATAGTAGAACTGTTTACTCCATCTTTTGAGTCATCTCAGTTTCTCGTTTCTCTCTGCCTGTCTTGTCTCCTTAAACCTCCAGAGCACCTCATTCAGAATGATTGCATCAACACCAGCAAGTATAAGTTTTGGTTGCACCACACTGGCTGCACTGGTGGTTCACCTACGTCATGTAGCGCATTATGGCACGCAGCGCATAGAGAAGTTCAGCTTGCATGCGTGCCTCCAGTACCATAAGATTAACATGTACCTGCAAATGTGGAATAAATTATGGTACTTCTGAACGTACTCGTAAAAAAACAGCAGACTGTCGGTAAAAAAATAATAAAAATGAGGGAACAGCGCTACTACAAGAAATTTTGGAAGGTTGGTACGATGGAAAACAGTTATACAGGTGTAATTAATTCCCAAGTAAAGCCTTGGCAATAGCAAATGCTCCTCTTCAGAAGAATAAATAAATATACTGACTCACAAAAAGTTTTTCTTCTGTAATAATTCAAACCTCGGAACATAAAATAATGAAATGTAACTTATTCAGTTCAATAACCTGGTAATCCCTTTACTTGATCAGTATGATCACTTGGCTACAAACATGGATTCCATATAAATACCAAGAACATTTCTCGTCCTTCATGTTTCCTCTCATCAAAAAAAACTACTTTGCTCTTATTTTTAAATGAACCGTGCTTAACATATTTCTGGCAGGTAACAGGTTTCTGTAATATGAAGAGGAATCAAAGTCTCTATGTCGCTACAGTTCTGCTTCGTAAAAACCATATGTTAATCGAGTGATATATCAGGTTCTCAGCCAGTAAGAATAAAAAATGGCTCCTTTGGGACACTGTGATGTGCAGTCTGGAAAAAGTTTACCAACAGTTCAAAGGTGCATGCTGCCTCTATCATCAGGTCTCGGTGCCCTAAAATTTCAGTGAACTTCTACCAGACTACATTGCATAATCAGTATCTTCGCATGCCATTCAGCCTGCATAATAATTACTAACATGTTACACATATCCTTACCTTCTCGCTGTGCCTGAACTCGCGCAGAACACGATCGTAGTCTTTTTTCGTTACTCTCTCTGGGTAACAGCACGCAGACTTGATAAATGCTTTCAGCGAACGTTCCAGCAACTGGTTCACTTCGCCGTAGTCATAATCATCATGCCTTCAAGAAACAATCATATTATATTGTACATATAATTCTGTGGCGACTGCACTGTCATTACAGAGAGAAAAGACGGAATGGTAAACACTCTACTGGAGAATAAAGCATACTCATACCTGATGCCAAACATGCACTGGATATAGTTCCATATGGCACGTCGAAAACGTGATGTATCCACATCTTTGCGTCCGCCCATAGTGTAATATGTAAGGTTAAAAGCAGTCTTGAATTTTTCATCCAGTAAGTTACCAACATCAGTATATAACCTATTGACTAGTGAGTATCCATGGTCATCCCATGAGTAATCCTGAAAACACGAGAAAGTAGCAGTCAGAAGAAGTCACAGAAATTTCAAATAGTTGTATCTCGTCATAAAAATAACATAACTGGGTTACACGCAATAAACCGACCATTTACAGCCAGTAAAGTACACTGGCAACAAAGTTATTATCTTCTGTAATATTAAAATTATCAGCACATACAAATTTACCAAAATACAAGATGATCCTCCCCTTCTTGAAAATTAAAGTTACAGAAAAACTATTATTATCTATTGTAGTGCTGCATTTAAATTAAATTACCAACATTCTTTGTTCATATTATGGACAGCAATTCTATCTATACTAAGAGCGGAGAACCTGTATGATGATTAATCCTAATGAAGCATTTTGCCCATTTATAATCATAAAGTGATCACTCATTCATCAGATGTTAAATTACATAAAAATACCTTTTCATATATTTTGATAAACATGTGAGAATATTTTTATATAAGACTTGAGGTTCTCACAGCGGTGAGTATGAAGATATCCGTCTTCTGGGTTATTGCGCTGTGTAGTCTGGTCGATGTTAACCAACGTTTCAGAGGTCATACTGCCTCCGTCATCAGGGCGATGATGACGGTGGCAGTATGTCCTCTGAAACGTTGGTTATATCGACCAGACTACACAGCGCAATAACCCAGAAGACGGATATCTTCAATATTTTTATACTTTATATTCCACATTTGAATAAAACATGATGTAGCTAGAGTATACTTCACACATAAAGAGTCAAAAAAGACATCTTCTAGATCAAATATCCATTTGTAGCCTTTTAATATGAAATAAATGTATAGAATCCTCTGTCCCTGCCAGGGATCAAACTGTGGGCATCCAGTCTGTAGTCAGACACTAATACTGAATTACACTGGTTCGTTATCTTTTCTGCATATACACATTTTGCAAACACCACGCTATTCCATACAGCAACAAAAATTAAAAGAAACAGCAGCAGTTACTAACCTGCACCCTGAAGGTGGGGATGTCTGAAACTTCACCACGTCGAGCAAAGTCTTGGTATAAGAAGGTGGGGTCATCGACAAAGTGTCCAATATCTGCCTTGAGCTGCGTTAGAGGCTCAAGACCTGGCGACAGTTCTACGCTCTGGTTCTCAACGTGTTCAAACCTTTTAGTCTTTTCCTCCTGCGAGAATTCCTCTGCCCTCTCCGATAAACTCTTCATGCGCTGCATCAACATGTCGACGCCAACCTCTTGCTCCACTGGAGACATTGAGGCTAGCCATGGTTCAGCTACGACATAGAATATGCATCAATCTTCATTCCACACATTAACTTCTGCCAGAAAAATCAATTCAAGTTCATAACGCAACTTAAAGAGAAGATCATACTGCTCTGCATTTAGGCATGATTACTTACCATCTCTACTAGATGGGGCAGTGCTAAGTGGAGGAGTAGGGCTAGGTACAGATCGTGGTGATGAACCAAGAGGTGGAGCAGAATCAGATGAGCCATTATGGTGGCCTCCATCTTGGTCCAATTCCTCATTCACTCCACAGCCAAACACAAAGCTTGAGAGTGAATGGAAGTGAGCCAACAGAACAATGGCGTGAACCACCTCAGCAAGAGACCAGCTATCCTTTCCTTTAGTCAGCTTCTGCACAAAATGGAAATATCCTTATTCTTCCAAGTGCAACATCAATTAATACAATCATGCACTCACATTCAGAAAAGAAAGCAAATTACTAGGAAACCAAAAACAAAGTGGAAGCAGCAGTCAGAGAACAAAAACATCTTGGGAGACAAATACAAGAAGACTGTGGGAAAGATAGAATATTATGATGGCAAACACCTGTAGCAAAAACCAGAATCCAGGGAATTGGTTCAGAGCTATCGCTCCTCCGTACAAATACTCTCTTTGTGATTCTCATACTTCTGTACGATTTCTCATCAGAGAAAATTTTTTATGGTACTCAGTACAATAATTATTATATTATAAACAAAATTATTATTGTTGTTACTATATATTTAGTTCATTGTTTGTTTGTTTTTATATTGTAATGTTTACTTTTATTATTTATTGTATTGTTCTTAGTGCATGGCTGTTATTGGCTGTTGTCACGCACTTAAATAAATGAATTATTATTAGTTAAGTAGAACTGCTAGTATCCCGATATTGGTGTTATCACCAATTTCAGTTGGTAATTCAAGGACACTGTACTGGCCATAACCAAACATGTCACAAACAATATATATCAGTTCAAATTCAAGGTCAAACTTCTACTGGTAACAGAATTTGACCTTGCTTATATATATTCCATGACAATGGCAGTGACTCATGCAATTTTTATTGTTCTTATGACAGTACACTAAGTAAGGAGTTTTTAAATTTATCTAAATTTATGTTAACAATTGCTATGCAGTTATAATATATTCGACCATTATTATATTCCAAGAGCTATGCTGGCGGTAGCATAGCTACTGGTAGGGCCTCCCTCGGAGGAGAGGTCAGACTAAGACAGGTACCCTGGTCCTCCAGGTTGGGGGTTCGTCGCAAGGCTAACAACCTTACACCGTAAAAAGGAAGATGTTTCGAAACCTCGATCAAAGCCTCGGACAGACAGACCTAACAGAGGACTGAATGGAAGAGGAGAATTGAGGAGGCCGTGGACCGAATACCGAGAGCCATAGAAGAAGAATAAGAATACACAAGCAGCGTATGTCATGCATTGTGTCTTATGACTTGAATAATCTTATTCTTTAGGTCATTCACATTTCTTTCTAAAGGTGGCTTGAATCTTTATCTTTAATAAATCCCATAAAAAGTCCATCAGCATTAGGTCAGGGAACTGAGAAGTCTGAGCAAGTGGCTCGCCTTAACCAACTGATTGTTTTAAAATATTTTTTACACCTTCGAGAGACACGCACCTTCACCACGGCTTTCTACCAACCATTCACCGTCTGTTTCTGACCGAATTAAACATATTGTACATACCTCAATGTGTGACTTATTGAGAAGCCAAGGCCTGTGCGCAAGGATCTTGTTTATCTCGTACAAGTCTCGTAACTTCTGGGGGATACGCGACAGCCCCTTGAGCCAAGTGTTGTCGCCACCTTGCAGCAGAAACTCCTGCTTCTGCAGATTGATCAAGTAGCTGCACTGATGACGTCCTGCCGCCTATAACAAGACCCGCTCAAATGTAATCATAAGCGCAAAATCTGCCTTTTTGATCTCTCCATTTGCAATGAGTCACTGTACGTATTACATTTTATTAACCACAAATAGAATTATTAAAATTATTTTATACAGTAGAATGTTCCAGGATGTAACCACCACTTTGGTGATAATTACAGAGAGAATTAAAACCACCCACAATCATCAAAGCCGTGAGAAATTGACAGTCACTCGGCTGGTCAAGAAATTCATCGCCTTCAAGATGCATTCTTATCCTGAGCCATACGAATCCATTCCACATCCTTGGACCCTATTTCTTTAAGATATTGTATATATTAGCCTCCTATTTATTATGCCTAGGCGTCTTTCAGAGCAGTGAAAATTTTGATGTTGGTCTTCCAGATTGTAATGCTGAATAAACTTGTTTTGGCATATACCAATGTTTTGAAAGAACACACCTCCTCCATCTTCTTGAATGACTGACAAGTCCACACAGTGTCACAATCAGAAAGACCAACACTGATGAGGAACAATGCTACTTCTGTTGAAACATAAGAGATTTAGAGATTTACGAAGGTATCTTTACTGTCAGAAGAGCCTTACCATGATTGCAATGAAGTGACGGTAATCATAAGGCAGGGGCCCATCACCGCGTAGGATGAAGTTCTGCGTACGCAGAAAGATGTCTAAGTAGGTTGGGTGATAACCCATCACCTGGGTCACGTGATCTAGACGATTGTTCTGGAGGAACGCATCAATAAACAGCATATGCGTCTGGAAACATACAAAGCAGAAACAAGTATTAATCTGTGCTGGATATCAAAATGTTAAAAATACCACAGTCTGTAACAGAGAACATGGATTTATAAGTTTGTAAAAGTCCTGTTTTCCCAATTACAATTTCACTAAGGTTAAGAAACGGCATATGTAACAATAATATTTTAACAAATGAGTAGGGATTGAGTCCAGAATTTATTTCGTGCGTACATACTTTGTTTTGGCAATATGACGACGATCAGCACTGCCGCCACCACACACAAATTAACATTTTACACAATCCGACAAAGGACCTTCAAAACACGGGATACCCCAAACCCTTGTGGAGTGAGGGGTTGGTGGGGGCACATATGGTGCAAAGGGTGGAAATGTAGCCAACTGTAAAGCACAATATGGTTAACAACAGAATAATAAATTCCCCCACAAAGAACTTTACGTAATCCAAGACCCTGCGTGTTATGTCATAACATGCTGGTGTTTTACGATAAAGAATTGTCATTCCCCTGCCCAACCCCAAAGCTGGACCACTCTTTGTTTGCACGGCATATTCAATACGTTCTCAGATACCTTCCACTCTGGAGGCCGCCTCTGACATCTGCAGCCTGAGAATGTGCCACTTTACGAGGTGCGATCGGAAAGTTTCAAGACTGTGTCAATAGAGGGCGAACCGGATGTAGTACGAGCTTCTGCCGCTAGGGGGTGCGGCCTACATTCATAGTGAATCAGTGTGCCAGCCGGCATCATCGAATTAGCATTTGTTTCTTAGTTACGGGCGTTTTGGTAGTGCATTACACCGACCCTCCTGCGATTTCAGGAATGGCGTGTGCATCAAATTTTGCCAAAGACTCGCCAAAACCGCTACGGAAACCTATGAAATGCTAAAGCAAACATTTGGGGAGTCCGCAAACTTTTGTGTGGCATTCACGTTTTAAAAAGGGCCGGCCGAACCTCTGTCGATGATGACGAGCGTTCTGGACGACCATCTTCGAGCACAACGCCCGAAAAAGTTACGAAGATCGACGTCGTACCATCAACGACTAATGCGACATTGTTGGGATAGGCTATGGGACCTGTCAGCTGATTCTAAAGGAAGAAATCCACATGCGACGCATCATGACAACGCGCCAGCGCACACCGCCCTCAAAGTTCGGCAGTTTTTGGCCTCAAACACCATGGCCGTCATCCCGCACCCTCCTTATTCGCCGGATTTAGCTCCGTGTGACTTCTTCCTCTTCCCAAAGATGAAAATTCAGCTAAAGGGAAGGAGATTTGAGACGATAGAAGAGATTCAGGCAGAATCGCAGATGGTGCTTGACAGGCTGACAAAGAAAGATTTCCAGGGATGCTTCCAGGCTTGGCAGCGGCGCTGGGATCGTTGTGTTCACTCCCAGGGGAACTACTTCGAGGGTGATGGATGAATTTAATACCTGAGATAAGTGTACGGGTTTTTATACGCGCAGTCTTGATACTTTCCGATCGCACCTCGTATAGTCACAAGATACTGACAGCCAAAACAGAGAATCTGATTTCCACTAACAAAAGTTTCAGTTTTATATCTAACAAACAAACGATTTTTAACAGCAAACTTTGTAATACATTTCAGCCATAATATCTGGGACAAAATAAACTTGAACATCTTGATATCAGAACATCACCATCGTCCATTACAACTAGCTTCTTCCAAGTCCAAATGCACGTTAATGATGCCGTGGTAAGGCACAGGGACAACTTTGCTACGTAGAGGCTTTGGTTCGCGTGCCAAAAATTGTAGGATCTATTGTTCACGTAGGTCATGTATCGAGAGCGGTATCGATCCTCTCGAACAGCTGATTCTATCACATGGAACCGAATAAGGAAACAGCTGGCTTCCAGGTGCGTTCGCGTCCGTTAAAAGGCTTAACATGGGAATTTGAAGTTTCTATAGCGTCTCTTGTTACCGGTTACTGCAAATTGCAATGGGCCGGATGTTTTCGACTTTTAAGTAATACGTCTTCAGTAAACTTATGTCGTGACATCCTCTGAACACTTGTGAGATCAAAATGTATTAGCACAGTTAACATAGGGCTTGCTGGCTCCTCGTCTATTTCAAAATACACGATTTGCTAAATAAAACATAAGATAGTGTAATTGCGTCATATTGTGAATATTCTAACAATTATTTATTTCAATCCGTCTTATCACAATATTTAAAATTTCTTATAATTAAGATAATAAAATATCATTGATGTTCCATAACGATTGATCGATTTACATTTTGGAACATC